TATATATATATTCTGGTTCTGTAAACAAAGTTAATGTAGGAGACAGAACCAGAACCGACTGGGTCCAGCTCTTACGTTTGGGCACCACTCTGAGGTAGATGCTCTTGCTGGTGTTGGTCTGGTACTCGTAGTTGGTGTAGATGAGCGTGCGCTCGAACGTGCACGTGTAGTTTCCGGTGTCGTTGAAGGTCACGTTCAGGATGTAGATGGATCCGTCCTGCAGGTCCTCCGTCTTCTTGCTGCCGTTCCAGTCCAGACGCTCCTCGAAGCGAGGGTCCCTGATGCTGCCCTCCCGGTTCATGTAGGTGTACAGCTGAAACAGGAAGTGGGTCAGAACCTGGTTCTGGAGGGAAATTTCACAGTTTATAAAAGTTTTAAGAGCAGCTAAATGCTAGTGTGAAAACAGCCGAAAGCTGCTAAAACTGAGCTGAAAACATTTAATAAAAAGTGTTCATGTGAGCTCACTTTGAAAAGCTGAAAGAAGCCAAAACACCTAACTGTGCAGAAAAACAATAAAAGGGAGCACAAATCTAGTTGAAAACAGCTAAAAGCTAACAGCTAAAATACCTAAATATAGCTGAAAACATATGTAAGAAGCATAAATAGCACTAAGTAGCAGAAAAAAACAAAGTAGAAAAAGCAGAAAAATAGCAGAAAGAAGCAGATTCGTAGCTAAAGTAGCACAAAATAGCTGAAATTAGCATAAAATAGGCTAAAGGTAACAGCCACAAGTTGAAATTAGCACCCAGAGAGAGCAAGTGTTGGAAAAAATGTAAAACTAGCAGAAAAAAATGCAAGTAATTACAAAATCCGTAATTTCTACTAAAATGACTAAAACAGCTGAAATTTTCAGTAAAACAGCTAAAATGTAGCTGGAATTTTTTAAAATTAGCATAAGGAGAACAGGTTTGCTGAACTTAGCTGAAAAAGTTGTAATGACTGCAAAAAAATTTTGCTTAGAAAATCTAACTTTAGCTAATAACAGCTGAACACTAGCTAAAACTTCAGCAAATATTTGAATACAGCTGAAAATATGTAAGAAGAGTAAATAGCACTAAGTAGCAGACAAAGGTAGAAAAAACAAAAAGTAGAAAAGGCAGAAGAATAACAGAAAGAAGCTGAATTTTAGGTGAAATAGCAGGAAAAAAAGCAAAAATTTGCAAAAAAAGTAGCTAAAATCGGCACAAGAAAATAAAAAAGAGCAGAAGCAGAACAAAATGTGTAAGGTGCTGCAAAGATTAAAAAACATTTTAAAGGATTTTATGCATGTTGAAAACAGCTCCATTCATTTTTAATGGCAAAAAAGTGGCTAAAAAAGTGAAATAACTAAAAATTATAAACAGCTGAAACACCAAAAGTCATGGCAGCCCTCACATGAATGAGCCGAAGGTTTTGATAAATGAATTGTTGAAATAGCTCTAAAATTCTCAGTGTGTGAATTAAATGAAGCGTCACACAAAAAGGGAAAAGTTCATTTTTTCAGAGTTTCTGTTTGTAAATAAATCAACTGAGTTTGAATGAATTTAAAAAATAATTAAATATAAAGTGTTAGAGGTTCAGAGATGGAGCCCTGAGGAACCTCAGATCAGTTTCAGGCCTGGGGTCTCCGTATTTAAGAAGCTCTGAAAATATTTAAAAATAATAAAACTTTTGGAGCAGAAATGCAGTCAGATGTTTTCAGAGAAGCTTCCTGCTCTGCAGCACTTCTGATCACCGGTTCTGATCAGAGGTTCTGATCCGGTTACATTTTATCTTTCAGCTGCAGCTCTTTGTATCGACTGAGCAGCACTTAGCTCCTCATCTTCACTTCCTGCTCAGTCTAAAGCTGCGGCTTTCAGCTGATTGCCTTCTTGTTCTTTCAGTCTCTAAAAGCCTCGAGCAGAAAGAAGCACTCTATCAAAGTCAGAGCCGCGGGAAAAACTCGTAAATAATGTAAAACCTCATTTCTTCTGATAAAATCAACCGTTTCTCACCAGAGAAGTGATTCTAACAGTGATTAAAGTTCAATATTTACTGATGAAACTTTTATTTATCTGTCCTCAGACAGACCTGAGGACAGACCTGTCCTCAGTTTCATAATTTGGACGTTAATAACGATGACTCAGCAGAATCTCCTGTGTTCCTGTAAAGCTGGACTGTGTCAGACCCATGGGTCCAGGACCTGGTCTCAGACCTGTGGGTCCAGGTCTCAGACCCGTGGGTCCAGGACCTGGTCTCAGACCTGTGGGTCCAGGTCTCAGACCCGTGGGTCCAGGACCTGGTCTCAGACCTG